AAATGAGCGGGTAAGGCTTAACAAATAAATGTCTTTAGTAGGAATTAGTTTGAACTAATACACACACAGCTGTAGCCAAACGTCCGCACATCACCAGTGTGGATGATGCGGAAGGATACGCAGTGACGTTTCCAAGTGGAGGCTCCTCCGCAGCGGTGTGACACGATCAGAGAGGAGGAGGAGGAGGAGGAGAGAGAGAGTAAGCAGAGGGTAATCAGTCGGTCCAGCACTCAGAGGCAGCATCATGGCACCTATCGGATTAAAGGCGGTGGTCGGCGAAAGTAAGACTTTTTTTTCTCCTAATTTATGGTGCTCAGAATTTGTGCGGGATATGGTCTTGCTGCACCCCGATTCAGCTGTGTATATGCCAGAGAGCGAGTATATATTTAAAAAGAAAAGGGCCGGGGAGCGGGGGGGACAGGATGCGGGTGGCTGCTAGTGCATCTGAGTGGTGACGATGATAACGGTGAAGGTGATGTTCCATTGTATCCCGATGTAAACCGCAGAGGTGTAGTGAGGAAGCACTGGATGCCCTGCGGAGGCTGCTCCGTCTCGTTGGTCTCCTGCGGCGCGGATGCGCAATTGCATTTCAAGCGACAGAGCGTAAAAAACGCTGTTGACAAGCGATGATTAGCCCACTAATAGAAGATGTTGGCATCCTCCTCCGGTGGGATGAGAAGCCACAGAGTAATGAAGCCCGTGTGCGCCCCTTTTAGACACAATCTACGTTTATTTAAGGACTAATCTGCCTCTGCCTGTGAGCTGCATCCCGATCTGTTTCTGCCTGAATATTGTGCCACAACATGCAGGATGCACGTACTGTTCACACGCTGGCGAGCTAATAATAGCCAACACAATGTAATGCGATGCTGTTTATTGCAAAATGAATGAAGATTAGCGGTCTCCATCCGTGGGATTCCCCGACTGCAGCAGTGCCTCACCCCATCCGATGGAGCATAATTCAGCTGCGTAAAACACCCTTTCTCAGCCGGAGAGCACCACCTATGCTCCGCTTCACGTTAATGGCGGAGTGCACCAGAGTCGTGAAAGTTGCCTTACAACTGACGCTGCGCAAGAAATTCCGCATTTTTTGTATATTTTTCCGCGGACGGCTTTTAGTCACCGTGCCCTTTGAGTAGAGTCGGTGCGGCACCGGCAGTCTGTGTAACCCTGCATCATTAGGACACTGTTAACTCAAGGTTCAGTATCCGATTGTGTCATTTCGGCTCATTACATTTGGGCTGGTGCTCTAGCGGTAGGTGTGCGGTGATGAAACAGGCCTGACTATGGTGGAGGCGCAGGAGGTTCAACTGGGTGCAAGTGTTAGTGGTCGTCGAAAGGCTCAGGAACGAGCCCATAAAACCTGATAGAGATGGCTTAATGTGAAGCCATGTATCCAGTTCGTCCCTAAATTCTTACACCAAGCTGCTCATTCTCTCTCTCTCCTCTGTTTTTTTGTTACCGTGCCCTTCCCCGGTTGCAAGATTTGCTTCATTTGGCGTCTGTTGTTCATAGTATTGATTCGGTGTCACATTTCACTAATACAAATCCACACAGTTGCTCTGTACCAGGAGCTAATGTGTCACTTTCTGGTCATGACATTGCTGGAATCTGAAAATTCTTAAGCTACACCCAGCTGTGCTCTAAGGTATATTTGCCTCACTGGTGCTGCTGCAGAATTCTGGCTCACACCCACCCCATCCCATTAAACACACACACACACACACAC